TAAGCAACTAGTTAAGGTCGCTAGTTTCCTACGCTCACCCCTTGTCATTGATTATGATGAATTGAGGACCTGTTGGCATTTGGATGATATGGGATTGGATGGTCAGGGGTCTTCCCTTTTACATGATTGGTTCTTGCGCCTCAGACRCTTTGTTTGCATACCAATTAATCGCAACTTTGTTGACACTTTGGTTATGTGTCCTATTATCTACAAGCATAATCTGTTCATGTCCTTCAACTGGAATGCATAGTTTTGCCCTTTGACTAAGAGTGATGACCTTGTTTTGAAGCGTATGAGGAATGTGTTCCATGACCTTGGTCTGCAAAAGATTGGAAAATGGGATGTAGCTGGTAGGTTTGGTGATGCTTATGCTCTTCCCAAGCATAAGGATCTCTCTCGTTGGTGCCCGATTTCTCCTACCTTTGTTGAACCTTCCAAGCTCGCTAGCTCAAGGGTTGCATGAGCACTCAATGCTTGATTGTTTGCCCTGCCTTAGAATTCCGGGATTAATCTTTGGGCGGTTATGGATTTTGTTCCYGGATTGAAAGGAATGGACAAAACTTCGTTAATTTGGACGGATACCATGATTTGCTCTCAGCCTCGTTCGACATCAAAGATATGTTCGTTTCTTTGCCTCATGAGGATATCCTCACTGCAGTGGTTTGGCTCAACTCTTGGTTTTAGTCTAAAGGTTGTGTCGGCGTGAAAGTGGCAAAAAGAGGCAGGAAAGCATRGGTATCTTTTGGTGGCGCAAGGGATGATTGCGTACTRGTGTCCTTGGCTGAGATTGAGGTGATGGTTCGCTTTGATCTATGTTTTACCTTTATCCAATCAGGAGGGTTCTTGCTATGACAGGTGATTGGTGTGCCGATGGGTAAATCCTCTAGCTGCCCGCTTGCTTGTATTTTGTGTACCTTTGTGGAATTTCGCTTTTTGCGTGGGTTGGGTGTAGATAGACGTCAAGTCCGTGGTTTCCGTATTGTGGATGATGTGTCCATCTTGGTGGTTGTCGCCGGGGTGCTATGATCCTAGACAACTGAGGCAATTCTGGAAAGTTTTCTGACCTGTTATGGCTCGGTGCTTCGGCTGGTCCGTATGAATGATGGGATTGGCCAATGGCTTTTC